GGGCGTGAACGTAAAGGATCCCTTGACAGTTTGAATTCGATATAAGAGTAGGCCGTAACGCCGCTGTCCGAGCAAAATTACCCTCATACACACTGTATACGGTATGCCCGTCTTCATTATCCCAGTCGGAGAAGAACACTAGGACGGTTAAACCCCATTTCATTTCATTTCATTTCTTAGATGTGCGCTCATACTCGATTTGTCATACGTACTATTTCAGCGAATCTAAATGTTATTTTTATGGAGTCTAGATCTTATTGAATAGACAGACATAAAACAAATTGATATCTATGAACCAGTGTCGTTTTCAGTCAATAAAGATTTTAGTTTTGATTAAGACTGTATGTTTAGATCGCGACATAGCTCAATTTCCATTTTGACATTTTGTCTGATTACAATACTATATCTTATTATAAATCTTATTGTCCTTGGTCTGTTTGGATTCAGCGATAATAGAAATAAAATGAAATGAAATGAAATGAAATGGGGTTTAACTTCCTACTTGTCTGTAACGACAAGGCTAATGAATACAGACATACACCATACAGTGTGCTTGCTGTGAGAGAAAGTTTGCCCGGATGTCGGCGCTATAGCGTTAACGGGGGGGTTTGATGGCCGAATGGTTAGCGTGCGCGTTGTATCATACGGCCTGTCATTGAGTCAACTGGCGGAGTTTCGATTCCCCGGTTGTACGTGGCAAGGAGTAGGGTCGCCTGTCCAACCTCGTGGGTGTTCTCCGGGTCCTCCGGTTTCCTCCCACTGCTAAAGACCCCTAAATGCAAGCGAATTATTGAAATAAAATTGAACCATGGGCTAGTCCAGAAATGGCCTAGTTTGTGTCGAGTGGATGTTAAACCCCATTTCTCACTCTCGTCCGCGTTAACGCTGTGAAACTGATTGTAGCAACAAGTGGCGTTGCTCATCGTTTGCTTTAGAGATGGGGCTAAGGTCCTGTTCTGGTAACGATTGTCGAATATAAGAGAACGGTTCTTTCAACGATTATGCTCTTTCTGTGTTTAAAAAAAATTGTGTTAAATTGCCTACAGATAAAAGATTCAGGTCCCGAGTTCACAAAGCATTCTCAGACTTAAGTTGAGAATTTACTCAACTTTCAATCACTGTTTATGAGAAATATCTTTGATCCAGAAACACAAAACGTTGCACGTATAGTTTCTTATTGATGTATTTGATACATTCAAACAACAAAAGTTTTATAAAGGAATATATTTTAGTTAAAATAAGGCAAACAATTTTGAGTAAATTCTTAACTTAAGTCTGAGAATGCTTTGTGAACTCGAAACCAGAATGTTTTGCTCTCAATGTCCCAAAACTGATCAGACCCTAGATACGTTAAGAGAAGGATAACAACCAATTATTTGAAGAACCCCCATAAAGATAAAAAGAACCTACAAATCTTTGTTATTGATGCAATTGTACGGGCTATATATTGATACAACGATAGACATTGGTATATCATTTGCTGTAAAGGAGCGGCCGTAACGAGAATTAGTATAGACTTCATCAGCGTTAATATTTATTGAGCGGACTCCAGACTTTATTTAAGAAGCGACCGGAGTTTACACAATTAATCAGAACAAAAGGAATAAGAGTAGGGTGTATGAATTTACATAGGATCGAGTTAATAGATCGGTAGTATAGTTTCTGTTTATACAACATTTAATGAGACCACTGGTTTCATTGATTATATAGATTTATGATGTGCTAATTTATTTTGACTAAGGAGGAGGAGGGGGGGGGGGGGGGGCGGGATGAAATAGGGTGTGATGACCCATCTGTCTGCAATTATCCCTCTCGGTGATACAGTTTATACAACATTTAATGAGACCACTGCTTTCATTGATTATATAGATTTATGATGTGCTGATTTATTTTGAATAAGGAGGAGGAGGGCGTGGGGGCGTAGTGAAATAGGGTTTGATGTCCCATCTTTCTACAATTTTCCCTCTCCCAGTTGGTGCTAATAGAATCTGTGACACAGTTTGTATAACATTTAATGAGACCACGGGATTCATAAATTATATAGGTTTATGATGTGCTAATATATTCTGAATAAGAAGGAGGGGGGATGGGGTTTGATGTCCCACCTTTCTGCAATTATCCCTCTCTGAGTCGGAGCTTATAGATCGGTGGCATATTTTATGTTTATATAACTGTTAATGAGGTCATTGGTTTCATTGATTATATATTTGCGTGGGTTCTCCTTGTCAGTGGTGCAGAACGGATTGCTAGACAAGGACAGCTGTCTAGTCATTAGGATTGGATAAAAAAAACGCATGTCCCATGCACACGTTAGTGTGCACGTAAAATAACCTCTGACAGTTGAAATTAGAAATACGAGTAGGCCTTAGTAAAGCTGTCCGGTCAAAATCACCCTTATAGCACACTGCGGAAACAGGAATACAGGAGCCTGTTACCTATGACTGGCTCTTCATACAAGTTTCTTAAAGACCCAATACCACTCTTGTTGTAACTGAATAATATGTCCCAATCTTTATTCTGGTCAACAAATTGTACTATTTTACAATATTACAATTAATTGATGATACAAATTTCATCTTAACACACCTAATTTAAAAAATTGAACCAAATGATTTGAAAAGCCTGACGTAAAGCTTTTCAAATGTGACTTGGATTTAAAGATATTTTTGAACCCCTTGGACAAGTAAAATAGGATTTAATGGATGATTTACACAACAGGTAGGACACTAACACATCTAGTACTTAGAATAAGGCTATTTTTTATTTTCTGGAGCTGTCAAGCCAGCAAGAGTGTTATTGTCCCTTTAAGAAACATAAGTCTGCAATATCACACTTGGTAAGCGGACGTTAAGCACTACGAATGAACGGACGAACTACTTTTCTGCGCTTATGGAGACGAGCATATAATGTGATATGAAGAACATTTTGTTCGCACAGTGACGTTTCCGCCCGCTCTTCTTCGATTTACAATAGCCAAGAGTTCTTGTATGCCAATGTTTTCGTCCCATCCAAATGACTAGGCCCACTTAAGTTGCTAGCCTCGGGACTGCTAGACAATATGACCTTAGGTTTTCGGCATATCCGATTGACTAAAGAATGTTCTTTCCCGGTCTCTTTGCCCTCAACCACTGAGAATGGAGAAATGAAATGAAATGGGGTTTAACGTCCTACAGATCTGCTCCTAACCTGGGCTAATGAAAACGGGCATACGCCATAAAGTGTGCTATGAGGGAAATTTTGCCCGGGCCGCGGCGCTACGGCATACTCTTATATTTAATTCCAACTGTCAAGGGATCTTTTACGTGTACACCAATGTGTACACGGGACCTCGGTTTTTCGTCCCATCCGAACGACTAGACAGCTGTCCTTGTCAGGCCCTCCGTACTGCATCACTGACAAGTGATCAAGGGATCAAACACCCTACCTCCAGGCTAGCGAGCCAGCGTCTTACCCACTTAGCCACGTGATCCCCCGCTGAGAAGGGAGAACCACGGCTGTAATATCCATAGGACCTTTCACACTCAGCACCGAGATCAAGCAAGCAGGTGCCACTGCTAGACAATTTGATCTTGGGTTTGAGTAAGGGATTTACCTTGATTGTCCCTCTGCCCCCAACAACTGAGAAGGGAGAATCATGGCTGTATTATCCCGATGAACGTTCTCGGTAAGTCATTCAGGACTCCTTTATAGTGGGTGGAGGTGCAAGGGAGTTTAGATCAGTAGTTTTAGACAATAATTGGAATGCATTAACTGTTGATAATCTGTATAAGAAAATTAATTTTTAAAATGAATTGGAAAGTGCGACATGTTCAAACTTCTTATAGAAATGGTAATTTAATATTTGGAAAGTCTCTTCTAAGGCTAATCGTAATAAAACACGATGGATCCGTGGGTTTGACATAAATCAAATCGATCCTTTCAACATGATGTATTTCTTAATATGTATTTAATCATCTACTTTTGTTTTCTTTTTTCCCATTTTCTTTCTGACGTTCTATCATCAGTTGGTAAGTTCTTTTATAACTATACAAACTTGAAACAGGATAATTTCAAAAGACATATTTTATATTTCATTAACCAGTTATAAAGTATGACCTATCCTGAATAATGATTATTTTTTTAAATAACCAGAAGAAATATTGTACAAAAAATATACAAAGTATAATACTGATTATTTTTACTCATAAGATATATTGTACAAAACCTATATAATGACGAATTAAAAGTCATATTTCAAATGTTTTGGTTTAGTTACGCAACCCCATTAATTCACAATTACATTGATAATAGTAAAAATAGCAAACCATATATTCTTTATAAATATATGTTATTATTGAGTTGCTGTATGACTTATTAAATTAAAATATGTTTCTTTCTTTGTCTCTCTTCTGCTGCCTTTTCCAGATGTGTGAGGTATGTGATCTTAAATATCCTGATATTAAGGAATAGAACTGGTTAATTTACACGGATATTAGAAGGCTTTCTCTGAGTCTTGGATCCTAGGTAGCACGAATAGAAACTAACTCTTTATTGTTCTGCTTCCTCTGTTCAGGTGTCTAAGATATAGGCGTCATTTTATTCTAGAGGGTACTTTTAAATTTGGCGTTAGATCTGAATACTTAATTCCACTATATATTAATCCCTGCATTCTGTGAGTCTTGGTTGCACGAATAGAAAAAAAACTCTTTACTGCCCTGCTTTCCCTTTTAAGGTGTCTGAGATATCAGCCTCATTTGTTTTTGGAAGGTACTGTTTTGGCGTTAGATCTGATTATTAAATCCACTATATTAATCCCTACTTGAAGTAATCCGGATGTTCAGTGTACATTGTCTACACGACCAGCGTGAGGGGTGAACGGCTTTTAAACCCTAAACAAACTCCTCTAACAGTTACAGATTCCATGACAGTTCAAATATTGTTGGGATAAATAAAAATTAATTTCGCTTTAGCATTATTCTATTTCTAGTAAATTGTAATTATTCTGTTTTTATTTTCATTGCAGGCTTCTCCGAGGGTAAGTTAATCCTAATATGAACGTGTTTATTTTTTAAACTGCGGGCTAACCATTTTCTTTTTTCTTAAATACATGTATGTTTTAGAATGTTCACATAAGTCCATCGCAATTGGTTCGCTCATATATTATAATTCTTTTCGCTGAAAGATAGAAGTATCAAAATAACTGCCAATAAATGAATCTATGTAGTTTAGATTGGCGAGACAATTCCAGTAAAACGCGCAGACCCAAGGCCATATATGGAATAACTTGTTGTCCAAAAAATAGTGTATTCTTATGTTATGTATTCTTATTAAATCATCGCCTTTATTTCCCAGGAGATGTGTATTAGTTCATACTATTATATATAAACTCGTGTACCTTTAAATTTACACAAAAATGATCAAGAAAATATGTTAGCTCTTGAACGTCATATTACAAAGCAAATGTCACACAATGTCGCAAGGTCTATCAATGCTTTGAAATGGTATTATGTCACACAAGACTAGAAGCATACGTGTAACCACTTTTGACCTAGACAGTATTTGATTTAAGTTTTATTAAATTGCTTTGTTTATTTTTCGTCTGCTCTCAGGATTGTCCGGGCGGTGTAAGTATATTTATAAATATCTCTTTTCCGTATTTAAACAAATATGTGTGATAACCTAGTTTTTCGTCTGTATAATACAATACAGTCTAATTAAAATTATTCGCACATTTCGTTCCGTTTTATTTTGGGTTGTTTGCATGGCTATCATTTTAAACGAAACGAAAATAACTTCAAGTTGTATTAGATTGCATAAATCGCAGATATGAATCTAATCACCGATGGCTGTTTTATGACAAGTATGGTATTTATGCCTAGAATAAATATATTTATATATCGATTTATGCCTAGAATAAATATATTTATATATAGATAGTGTAGAAACATAAGCGATAGTTGTGAAATAAACAACCTGTCACGCCCATTCATCCTCTTTTATAAACACAAAGAAAAAGTATCCCAAAACGCGAATGGTTATTTTTATACATTTGTTCGTGTTTTTATTTATTTTCAAAGTTTATTAAAGCAATAAACAGCATAATATGCTTATAATTCGTGCATTTATCTATTCCAATAAAAAAAACCCAGCCACAACCAAAGTGAATTGTAGAATATTTATTTACGCAAATAAAGTAGGTTTATTTTCTTTCTTTGCAGTTTAGAAAAAGATCTGGTTTACTTCAAGTAAGTTTAATGAAGGGGTAGTGTATGCTGACCTTATAATTATAGCAAAATATAATAACCAGAAGAACTAATCATTCTCAGACTAAGGTTAAGAATTTACTCAAAATTGTTCGCTTTATTTTAACTAAAATATAGCCCTTTACAAAACGTTTGTTGTTTTAATGTATCAAATACATCAATAAGAAACTTTGCGCAAAGTTTGTTGTTTCTCGATCAAAAATATTTCTCATAAACAGTGCTTGAAATTTGAGTAAATTCTTAACTTAAGTCTGAGAATGCCAGGTTGTATTTTGCATGTGCTCTAATTGATTAACTCTAAACACGAAGTTACTGAACGACAACATGTTTCCGCTCCTGGTCCCAGGTGCAGGGATACCCTTTATAGGCTTCGCATGAATTCTATGGCCTCATGATATAGGGGGCCTCCGGCTGTAGTCTGAAACATATGGCATCATCCTCTGCTTTGTTCAATTGTGTTTAAAACACACTTACATCTTCCTTTTGTCGTGAGGGTGGGGGTTAAAGAGGTGCCAAAAGGGCTAATGAAGGTATGCATATGCCATGCATAGGGCTATGATGGAGCCGTTCCCTGACAACGACGACTCCGTCTACTCTTCATCGAATTCCAACTGTTAAGGAGTCTTTTACGTGCACACCAATGTCTTTTCGTCCCATTCTAACACAAATGAAAAATTCCGAGGATCTGTCTCGGCTATCTTAGAAACCGGAGGACCAGGAGAAAAGCCACGAGGTCGGACAAGCGATCCTACTCCTTGTGACGTACAAGCGGGGAATCGAATAAAACGCACGCGTTAACCATTCGGCCACCCAAGGCCCCATTTCCGTATGAATACATTCAATCTTTTAATATCAGTACGTAAAAACACAGAGGATGAAACAATCCTTTGACTGAACCATCATTAGCCGAAACGTCCTGGCCAAAAACGTCGATGGTCAAAACCTCCTACTTGTACATCCCGGTTGGTCTACTGAATGACGAATGGATGAAAGTATAACTTTTATTTTATAGATGCATTATGTAAGAGCCATATCTGCATATTGTGGGTCGTTATTTTAGCTTCAAATGTTATATAAGCTGTTATTTAGACGTTTCTTCATATGACACGGTTATAATCAACTCTCTAGACCATCAGATGGCGGAGATTTAAACGGATTAAAACACGGTCGCCATTTAATAATTTAAATTAAAAATGGCGAATCGAGGATAAGTCTCGAATAACAAGTACCATTGTTACGATAATAAACAATCTATACTACATCTTTTCAAAACTTCAAACGGTAATAACTCAGAATAAAGTAATTTAAACGAAATTTTCAATATATTTATTTTGCGTTATCTATTTTGGAACTTTTATAGCAAGAACGGTCAGCTGTTTATTTAAATCTTACCAGGAGCTAAGTGGGAGGGACGCAATGACAAGCTTTGCGTCATATGTTTGAGTTTTTGCACCCCCTTGAGTTTCTGTGCCCCCTGGCACAAATGCATCTTTAACTAAAAACAAACACAGCATTCAATAATAAACCGTTGCTATCGCTTTTGTGTAAAGGCGCATAGTTGAATAATATATGATGTAGTCCATATCCCGTTATATTTCAGAAACGAAAATCTGTAGATGAGACGCAATTTGATGCTGAAAAATTGTTTCGATTCCTGCTGTACAACTTACGACAAGAAGAACGTAGACGATTAGAAGATTCCAGTCCGTTAAACATGCTGGGTTTACGATCAAACAGAATATTATCACAGGAACAGAGCAGATAATTGGTGAGTTTCGGTTTCCTTAAACTTTACTGGCAGTTTACAAAATTGAAATGACGTGAAATGCGAGTTAACGTCCTACTGTTCTGCACCAACCGGGATGATACATACGGACAGACGCCATGCAGTGTGGTATGTTGGTAATCTGTCCGATGTTCTTTTGCGTGCAGACGATGTTCCTTGTTTCTCGGCCAACGCTGGGACCTCCGTGTACGCGAGCTAGCGCCTTGCTCATAGAGCCACTGGTAGTCACCCCATACTCACGCCGGTCACTTATCAGGGACTTACCATGAACCAGGCTAAAAAGACGGGCATACACCATGCGGTGAGTCATGAGGAAAATCGACGTGTTCGACTATTCTTTATCGAATTCCAACATCCAAAGGTTTTTATGCACGGGACCACGGCTTTTCGTATCATCTCAATGATTAGACGCGTTCTTTACCAGGCCTTCCGCTGCCAGGTCTTCCGTTCTGTACCATTGACAACGACAAACGACGCTATTTTCTCGGCCAGCACCAGAATCGAACTCGGGACCCCCTGGTTAGTGAGCCACCGTGGCTCGTTGTAGAATTAATATATCTATGTTTTATATATGCTATAAGTAGGGTAGCGACAGGTGGTAATATTCCCCAATCTCCATTGATGCCACAAATGAAGCCACCATTACTCTTGAATCTAACCTTTGAAACACGGCTGTTACCTTTCCATAATACATTAAAGTTCGAGTACTCATTAGACTCGTCTGTAAATCATATAGATTTGGGTTGTCTGGCACAAGAAACCGTTCTTTATTAACATCAAAAGTATCAATATTGAATGCATTAAGAAGATATCGTAGACAGGATTAGTCAGCCATTAACCAAACGGTTATGGTCAGTATAATATGAAAGGAACTTCGTTTTCATAATCTGAACAATTAATAATCCTTGGCTAATAAAATCCCCGTCTTCGATAAAAGCAATTAAAGATTTTTAATATTTTCTTTTAAATAGCTTTTAAAATTTTCTTTTTAGCGACCGTCCACGGACCCGTGGTCGACAGCAACCACCACCACCAAGACGCTTTAATCAAAATCATCTGTAACCTTTGAACCACCATCGACTGAAAGCTTCTAGAAAACCATTTCATCACAAAGGATCATCAACATTATGATTTAGAATATGTTTCATTTATTATTTAAAAATTGCAAGAATCCAAAATTCATATTGATCACTAAATGTCTCTAAATCTAGCTCGATTTTGTTAAGAGAGGTTTCTTTGTCAGGGATTCTGAAATAACATGAAAGTCGTATTTATTAATAAAAAGTCTAAATTTGTCCTCATTTTAGACAGCATAGTTCTTGAATCTTTTTGCTAAGTATCATTTAGCATCACTATGAAATTTGTTTTCTGATAATGTATAGATGGTCGTGTACACGCTTTAATGAGTTTATATCTAAAATATTATTATTTCAAAGAAAATTTTTTATTTATTATGTTCAACTAATAGCATGTCTAGTAGATAAAACTGGTGGTAGTTGATGATTAAAGCATCAATCTAGGGGATTTGCCAATGATAAATGGTATTGCATAAAAGACTGTAGTTTTCATTTCTTATCTAAATTTCTTTCTGTCTATTTCGTTTAATTTTGGCCCTTGAAACAATATTGAATACTATTTTATATAGAGAACAACAAGAGTAATTATTATGTTTCATATTTCTGTCTGCATTATGAACACTTCTTTAAGCTGCAGGTTTGAGTTATATAATTCATTGCCAATACCGATCATAGATTATTAGATAGATTGATCAGTCTCTCAGTGTACATACAAGAGTATGCTTACCCCTGCCAGAACTCTTTTGATACAACTTCACCATTGCGTAGTAAAATCTGAGTAATTTCTGACTTACAATAACTCGATTTTTTCTAAGGACTCTTCCGGAAAGAGTATGCTTACGCCTTCCGGGACCCTTTATACAACTTCAGTATTGGGTATTTATTACCGAAGCAATTTCTCATTAGAAGATTTACGTACCATTAAAACTCTTTGTAATAGCTCACCACTTAAGATTTACTGCGTACAATATTGTGTTAATTTTCTCTAAATTTTTCTTAATTTGTTCACATGATTCGTTAGTATTAATATCCGTTTCTACATAATTTAAATAACTTTATTATGTGCTTACAATTGATAGTTAGTTTCACGGTAACGCTGTTATCGGCATACTTTTACTTTTAAGATAAAGAAAATAATAAAAGCCGTCTTTTAGTGCTCGGCATCGTCTGGACAAAATATTAGAATTGTCACATATCTGTCAGATTATTCTACCATGTAAAATATTTCTCAGACAAATAATTGAATTGCTTGAGAGATGTAATAACCACGTGGCAAAATTGAATCAAAGTCCCATTCAAAATTTATAACCTTAAAAATATATCAGACATTGCACACCTTATAATGGAATAAAATGACCATTTTATGACCAAGTTAAGAGATCAACAAGACTGGATTTGAAATAACATGACCATATAATGAAAAGGTTAGTACGATCCGATTTCATAGAGCAAAGGGATATAAGCGTAAAGATATAATTCAACAACATTTATGCTTAGTAAACAGTTGAATTTGTTCAGAGATTAGACGGAATAAATTTATTTTAGTATCGTATTTAGAACATTAAACATTATTATTTGATGTAAAACTTATTGATTTATTTTAAGATTAAACATTATTAAACATTTGATGTAAAAGGTATTGTTTTATTTTAAGACTAAACATTATTAATTATTTGATGTAATTATTCCATTATATATTCATATAAATATAAATATACATATTCTGCTAAACACCTATATTAAAGCCTCGGTTGACTTTTATATGCCTTGTTCGTTTTCATATTTAATGCGATCATATATTGTCATCAATCTGTCTGTCTGTCCAAAATTACGGGTAATACAATAGGTACGGTATTGTAGGTCCCTACAGCTTGAATTATTACGCGATCATATATTGTTGTCAATCCGTTTTGGCTGCCCACAATTACCGGGGGGGGGGGCTGTATGCAGAAGACCCCTAAAACTTGCGTTATTACGCGATCATATATTGTTGTCAATCCGTTCTGTCTTCCCACAATTACGCGAGAAACTGTATGCAGTAGAACCCCACAGCTTGAGTTATTACGCGATCGCATATTGTTGTCAATCTGTCTGTCCGTCCAAAATTACGGGAGAGACTTATGCAGTAGACCCCCATAGCTTGGGTTATTACGCGATAATAAATTGTTGTCAATCTGTCTGTCCAAAATTACGGGTAATACAATAGAGACGGTATTGTAGGTCCCTACAGCTTGGGTTATTACGCGATAATAAATTGTTGTCAATCTGCCTGTCCGTCCAAAATTACGGGTAATACAATAGAGACTGTATGCAGTAGGTCCCTACAGCTTGAGTTATTACGCGATCATATATTGTCGTCAATCTGTCTGTCTGTCCACAATTACTGGGGAGACTGTATGCAGTAGGCCCCTACAGCTTGAGTTATTACGCGATCATAAATTGTTGTCAATCTGTCTGTCTGCCTACAATTACGGCAAATATAATAAAGACTGTATGTAGCGGATCCCTACAGCTTCAGTTATTCAGCGATCATAACTCAAGCTGCAGCTGTTCGTCTGTCCACAATAAATTATGGGTTAATTCTGCAACAGCGACTGCATGCAGTACAGCTTGGATTATTATAGAAACTTACAGTCGGTTCAATTTGTAAACGGAAGTACCCTACTAACATTTTCCCAGGAAAGCCGCCGGAGTTATACTTCTTGATAACGAAACCTTGTTAGCGCTCTACGGGTAATAATCGTCAGTTGACGAAGCCTTATATTGAGGAATTCCAATGATAATTCTCGGGGTTGGCCCGCAGTTACATTAGATCTTTATCAAATTAAATAGTTTGTTCGGTCAGATTGGTAAAATGACAAGCCCTGTTTATTTTCCTAAACATACATTATGAAAGAGCTAAATCTGCCTATTGCAGGTCTTTTTGGGGCCTTAAATGTTATCTAAATTATTCATTGACTTATCCAGACCATAATCAACTCCCGATGGCTTTACTAGCCCGCGATATTTATTGGATTAGAACTCGGTCTGCTGCTTCTGATTAAATCAAAAAATGGATAATCGAGACTATGTTTTGTTATCGTACCGACTTTTTTAACAATTAAAGTGAGAACAACCGGCTCCTTATCTAATCTCCCATAATGTATCTTTAAGTTTTCTGGCAGTTGTTACTGTAGTATGCCCATTGAATACAACATTGTGTTAATACTACGGATTACGGATGCTCCAATTGAAGCTCTATGTAATTTAATTATAGGGTTCCGTTTCGAAAGAGAAATACCCATATTGATTGATTTTTGACTTCAAACAATTGGTCTCCGACCGTCTCTGATCCAGCCTCCTTGTATTATGGAATACTATTCTTGAATTTAAAAGAAGTAAAATTTAGAAGTCCATGTTCCAATATGTGTCCATATTGTTCCAGATAAAGACACCAGGGTCCTGTTTCACGAAATTTTAACTGAAGATAAAATCCAAAGTTTAGTAGATACTTCAATTTTGATTGGCTAAGCACTAAAATCGATGTAATATTATCCAATCAAATTACTAAAATTTGGATTTTATATTAGTTAAAATTTCGTGAAATAGGCCCCGATATCATTTCTAGAAGCGTCGCTCCTTTTAAATCCACCACTTGTATTTCCATAAAGAAATGAAATGATATGGGGTTTAACGCTTTACTGATCTGCTCCGACTGGGCTAATGAAGACGGGCATATGCCATACAGTGTGCTATGAGGGACATTTGTCCGGACAGCGGCGCTACGGCCTTATCTTATCTCGATTTCCAACTGTTCTTTTATGCGCATGTCAATGTTTACACTGGACCTCGGTGTTTCGTCCCCTCCGAACGACTATACGTTGTGCCTTGCCAGACCCCCTGTTCCGCATCACGGAGAAGGGCAAAACACGCCAGAAAATCCCTATGAATTTTCCCGATAACAGGAATGGAACACTGGACCTCCAAAACCTCCACTGTGCCAAGTAGTAGGCTCACCTGTCCAACCTCGTGGGTTTTCTCCGGGTCCTCCGATTTCCTCCCACTGCTAAAGACCCCTACGCATAAGCGAATTATTGAAATAAAAATGAACCATATGTTAGTCCCGAAATACCTAGTTTGTGTCGAGTGGACTTTAAACCCCATTTCTCTCTCCCTAAAATGTCACTTAAACAATTTAAACTTCACCAATATACTAATCAGAATGTGTAACTAACTGCACACAACTGAAACATTTGATTATAATGATCATCCACGTGCACGCCCCCACTCCTCTAATCAAATCATGGCATGACGTGGACAAAAACATTATTATCACGTGCCCTGGACGTGTTTTCAGTTCAAGAATAATAAAAAAATACTTGTATAATCATTTTCAAATGGCAATATCAATAATTTCTGCTTTATATATCGTTATCGATATTATCTTATCGAACCGAGCAGTTGATGTGTGAAACTACACTACCGTATCCTCCACACGAATGACAGATACTTCCCAGATCGAATTGTCCATCTATTATATCGCTGATAACAATCTCTCACTATGATCGATGATAGTATCTCTTTTCAAGTCATTTCTTTTTTTATTTATGAGATTTTTCTTTAAAAGAATCTCCTATAAATCTTTACAGATTTAAATATCTATCTATATCTTTTGGCATTTTTAAAGAGACTCGATCATTCAACGGTTTTAAAGGGACAATAACACTCTTGCTGACTTGAAAGCTCCAGAAAATAAATAATATCTCTATCTCAGTACTAGATGTTTAAGTGTCCTACCTGTTGTGTAAATTATCCATTACATCCTATTTTACTTGTCCAGAGGGTTCGAAAATATTTTTAAATCGAAGTTTCATTTGAAAAGGTTTATGTTGAATTTTTCAAAATTTTTAAATAAGGTACGTTAAGATGAAATTTGTATCATCAATTAATTTAAATATTCTAAAATAGTACAATTTGTTGACCAGAATAAAGATTGGGACATATTATTCAGTTACAACAAGAGTGGTATTGAGCCTTTAACTATTTTTGATGATTTTCAAGGGATTCGATCGTTGTACGGCTCTAACGTATTTTGACGTTTCCCAAGGGACTCGGTCGTTCTATGGTTCTAATTTATTTTGACGTTTTTCAAAGGACTCTATCGTTCTACTGTTCTAACTTATTTTGATGTTTTTCAAGGGGCTGGATCGTTCTACCGTTCTAACTTATTTTGATGTTTTTCAAGGGGCTGGATCGTTCTGCGGTTCTAATATATTTTGACGTTTTTTATATTTTAAAGACTCGATCTGTCTAAGGTTCTGACTGTATTTTCACATCTAAGTTTCTGACTTTTTTCGAGGCCAACACGAAAAACGCCAAAGAATACGGGTATACGCCATGTAGTCAGTATGCAATGGGCCACGGCGTACCCTTAATCAGAGCCGCAAAGCAGTATATTCGATTATTTCGATTTCTATATTTAGAAATATACGCGAAAAAAAAATCTTTTGGTAAAATAATGGAGCCATGTCATCAATTCTTTCCTCAAGTTGTAGGTTGCACCTGTTCCCCAATCAGGGCCTGACAAGAACAGCTGTCTAGTCATTCGGATGATATGACAAACCGAGGTCTAGTGCACTCTTTGGCGGGCACATAAAAGTTGGAATTCGATATAAGAGTAGGCCGTGGCGCGGTTGTCACTGTATGTCGTATGCCCGTCTGTATTAGCCCAGTCGGAGCAGAACAATCGGACGTTAAACCATATTTCATTTCATTTCATCTTTTTGCCCAATCTCTATTCTGAAACCACCTATCTGAACATAGGAAAATATCTTAAAGTCCGTTATAAAAATCAAGAAAATGGATCAATTATAAGTTACTATTTTTATCTTGGTTTCCTTTAACCATCAATATCTTTTGACAGATGCGAAACTAAGACTTGACCTATGTGTGCATAATAATCTATATATGATATATTGCGCAGTCTCGGAATAAAGAGACGATATTTAGCGACACCATCGACCAATAATCACATTTAATCAATTTGATTTATGAGCACATTTATTGCTCCAAAGCGCAATTGCTAGTCATTGACCGGAAGTGGTTTTCAAAGCGTCTTTATGATTCTCACAATGTCTGAATTGTTTAACGTCACGATACGACCTTTATATCTTAATGATCGCAGACATTTTTAAATTTAAGTTAATCAAACACAACAGCCTCAAAGATAAACGCGACTATCCAATCTAGAAAATTACACATCCATGTGGATACGAAATGAAATGAAATTGGGGGCTAATGTCCTCCTTTGTTAAAGACGAGCTTATGTCATGGAGTGAGCTATGAGGGCAATTTTACTCGGACAGCATGCACTACGACCTAGTCTTATTTTGAACTTAAACTGTCAGGGATTCTTTTAAAGATACATTAGTTAAGTGTTTAATAAAGAGTTGGTCATTCTTGCTATAATAATTCAAAAATAGATGATAAAAAAGAAAATATTGACTGATTTCATTCAAATTACTTCATTCTCAGCCAAGTTATCATTGTTTGTAGTTTTGACAAGATGTGTGCACAGTCCTAACCAAAGCACTGGTATATTCGGGACTTAGCCTCGCTTTCCCATTTTTAACTTAAATTTTTAAATGGCGAACCGTTTTAATCTAGTTAAAATCTCGAGTATCCGATGCCATCGAGAGTCGATTATGGTTTTGTTTTGTTAATAAATGTCTAATTAATAGTTTATGTAATGAATAATGGCCGAACCGTTTTAATCTAGTTAAAATCTCGAGTATCCGATGCCATCGAGAGTCGATTATGGTTTTGTTTTGTTAATAAATGTCTAATTAATAGTTTATGTAATGGATAATGGCCGAAGACTGTCCATTATGTAAATAGAAAGAACAACTGAGGGGCGTTAGCGCCGAAGTTTTTCTTTGTATTTACATAATGGACAGTCTGAGGCTATTATCTAACTTAAACCATAGACACTCTTTGTTTAAAATAATAGACATCTTAAAATAATAGTGTCTTGTAACACCTCAGAAATAATGGACAGTTACTTAAACCAACACCGCAGTCATGTGGCTGCCACCGAGTGATTTGTTAACAATTAATACAAACAAAACAAGGATATCAATACAGTCATGTCTTCCAGTGGAGAGGATATATTTATCTCCCAGTCAAAAATTGTTCCTAGTTATGACAATGACAATGTTTGGAGTGACATATTGGATATGGGGGAGAATGCAAATCCAAGGATTGACCATCCAAATTTTAATATAGGGTAAAATATTTATTCTGATATATCGGGTGTGGATACAAACCCTGACTCTAAAGTGGAATACAAAGTCCATAATAATCCTAGTAATTCCAGATTTGCTGAACCGTTGCAACAATTGGAGCTATAAAAGTTAGTTAACGATGGATTATGTTCCCCAGCAGAAAAGAGTGGACAGGAGCATAGGAGCTTACGTACTGTTGGCCAATATTCTCAATTAACACTTTGACAGTAAAGGGAGGAAATACATACAATACTGTAAAGATGTGTCAAAAACCGTTCGGGGTGGCTTGGACCAACGCAGAATACAACCTAAGGTCACTAGAGCGTATCAAAACCTGCAAAATCTACAATACGTCTTTATGAAAAAATACACGAGTTTAAGGTAGGCTACTACTATATGGTTGTTTATTTCGCTCTTTATTACCCAGTCTAGAATCATTTGATGAATATGTACACATTACAATTATTCTAAATTCAGAAGCATTTTGATTGGCTTTTGATTAAATGGGTCGTAAAATTAACTTTTTATAAAATGAATTGACTGGTGATGATTTAGAAAATCATGTTAAAAACCAGATTATTTCTAATTTTCAGACCGACTGATGCTTTTTATCTGAGACCTAGGAAGCTACCAGATTCTAATGTATGGTATGGTGACTCGCCTATGGGAATTCATTTATTACAGCAGACAATAAAACACATCTGTCACGTGGCTAGATTCAAACGGAACTCTACGGACCACTCATTGAGAGCTATCGCAGCTACACGTTTGTTTGCTGCAGGAGTAGATGAACAGCTCATTGTAGAAAAACACTGGACATCGTTCAAGTGAATATAAACGGACACGCGACAATCAACTATAGGACTTGCGTAACATTTTTGTAGCTGAAAACTGTCCAAAACTGTGTCAACTATCAAGTCCAAAACAAAATAATTCAAAAGTGTCCAGTGATTCCAGGGAAATTAACATCCATTCTTCGGAAATTTCAATTTAATTAAAATTTTGTAAATGTTGAAAGGGAAATTAGTAATAAATGGACAGGTTTTTTTGATTTCAGTTGCTTAATATATAATGACTACACTTTATTATTAATGTATTTTTCACTAATAATGGACAATGTCTAAAAATAATGGACTAATTCCATTAATAATGGATTGTTTTCATTAATAATGGACTGTTTGTTTAGACACCAATCCATTCCTCATTATAATGGATTAAAAGAACAAAGGATGACATCATAGCTGTGGTTTAAATAACATTTCAGGCCTAAAGAAAGAACCTGCAATAGGCAGATTTAGCTCTTGCATAATGTATGTTTAAGTGCAGGCAATGCAATGAACACAAATATTTTGTGGCTCTATACACATGTAAGAAAGGGACACACAATTATGCCAAGATGTCCCATAATAATATTGTAATATAGGATTGGGTGTCAATTTCAAGTGTTGATGGAACAAAAACGGAGGGCTAACAATATGCCCCTTATGTCCACGTCAGGACTCCGCTAATACTATTTCATTGTGCACACAGAGAACTGACTACTCTACTTCGAGAACAGATCCCTGCCCTAAATGGCCACCATACCCAACAATTAGTATACTGTTTTGTAATGTAGTCCTACACCGGTTATACACAGAACGATTCATTATACCTTTTCAATTCTAGTAACTGAAAGCAGAATATATACTTCTAAAAATTCTCGAAGAATACTTAATTTTTTCGACTAAAATCTTCGATTTAGGACTTAAAATGTCGGTCAACAACCTTCGTGTCTAATCTCAAGCGGCGCTAACTGTAGACAGACAACGTAAGTTTAGTTTAACACTTTTTTGATCCAGGAACTGATTCCATACAATTGGTAATCTTCTTCTTCAGGGACGCTTTTTAAAAACTAAAGCCTAAGGCTCCATCAATTTGAGTTTGACCAACATTAAACTTGGAATGTTTAATCTATGGACAACTGCGCATTGATAGACCAACACCGATGTTTGATAAGACGACACAATCCCCCGATAGTTTCCCTGACGTCATGTTAGGCTCCCTGGGCTATTGCTATCATTTATTTAATTTGCATCAAATCGATAGAAAAAAACGAAACAAAAAACCTCATTATACACCACCCACATCACAATAGTTTTTTGGGATGAATTTTACATTTAATTATTTATACGAATTCTTAAAATAATATATAAATGTCGAAGAAGTGGGCGTCAAAGCGATCGTTTTCTTTTCAACAACCTGTCGAACCATTATTATAGTTTAACATTTTACCAAAGTTACAATATAAACAGCGAACGGAATACTAGTATATCGATAAAAAAAATAATGTTTGGAGCTGTGAGGTGATAATATATTCAATTTCAGGTATAGATTAAAAAAAAATAACCTGTTCAATATATCGATTTTGTCATTAAGAAAGAAATGTGTAATTATAATATAGATTTTTATCAGAATTTTTTTTTAACAATAGAGCCGATTCACTTTGATCGTTACAATATGGTGTCTTTTGGCTTAAAATATTCATGTTGATAAAACACCTCACATCATCTTAGAAGGTAGCCTTATATTCTTTCTCCAAAACGTCAGTTCAAGGCCTTTGATATATTGGTGATGGAAAGAGAGTTTAATACCACAGATATAGCGTTACCTACAGTATAGCAAGGAAGGAAAATGCAATTGGGTTTAACGACTTACGTTTTTGCCAGAGATATAACGTTACCAACGTTTTGCACCGACTGGGTTACGGAAGATTGGCATGCATACAGTGTGCTATGAGGGAAAGTGCGCCCCCCCCCCCCATGACTTACTCTTATCTCGAATTCCAACTGTCAAGGGTTCTTTTAAGTATGTGTCAACGTATAAACGGGACCTCGATTTTTCCATCCCATTCGAACTTCTAGACACTGTCCTTGGCAGGGCCTCAGGGGAACTTTCTCGGCGATCAACAGGATCGAAACAGAATCTCTTGGTTAGTGAGCCAAAGAACTGAGAAATCTAGAGTCAATGTGGTATAATTTTTGGTGGTTCAGTGATATTTAAGTATTCATCCTTTTGGGGGGACTCTCGGGTTGTCTGCGATATCACCATTGTTGGAAGCGGGCGTTAACACCCACCAATGAATGAGCGAACGGACATGTCTCTCGCCAGCACTGGATTTCAAAATAACTAACACAAATATTTGTAAGCTTCAGTATACATTTAATAAAATCAAAAATCTCGTATGTAGTTCCAGAAACAGGGGTTATACAGAATAATTATACTTTTTATCACAGTTCAGCGGGAGAGTCTCAACTTAAAAATTATGTCGTCATAACGATATAAATAATATCGTTATTAACGTTATAGATAATATCGTTATTAACGTTATAAGTAATATCGTTTAACGTTATAAAAAAATATCGTTACTAATGCTATACATAACATCGTTATCAACGTTGTAAATAATATCGTTATTAACGATATATATAATACAGTTATTAACGTTTTAATTAATATCGTTGTTAACGTTTTAAATAATATCGTTATTAACGTTATAAATACATTTACTACATATTGCTAAATATTTAGCTGTAACATAAAATATAAACAAACAATTATCACGACAAAATGTTATTGCCAATTACGTCTGAAGTCTACAGAATGGAACATGAAATTGCGTATATAGCCTACATAAACATGTCAAATTCGAATATTACACACATAAATATTATGCAAATTCGAATAATAACGTTATAATGTTATTCAAATTTTAAAAATACACAAAACATATAGATTTTTTATTTAGATCTTCTGTTAATTTATTAGGACTATAAATAGAATCTTATTTTTTCCCCCTTATTTCGGAGGGAAATTCCCTCTGAACATGAACTCACCATCAATTGGTTCCTGTGACCTCGCGTAGGAAAAAAAGTAAATCGGGATGACCAACCCTCCTTTAACATCGTTATCAAATATTATTCTGACATATTGGATATAAACATTAAGACCATTAAGATGTTGCAGTCCGAGAAATGTCATTGAATTAACGTTGAAATCAAAGAGGAGAGAATAGCCAGTCAAAATAAAATCAAGTTATCTCCCCTTTTAAGATCAATACTTCAATAATTTCAGTCTAAATCAAACAAGTCATACATCTGAAATGATATATTTCAGGTCGATTAAAATAATAGTATCGAGGCATTAAAGGAGAAATCGCACAAAAATAATATTATTTGCTCGTCTCGCTATGAGACACTCATTTCCTATGTAGAATATTACCATATAGAATTGGGTGCTTGGATGGTCGAGTGGTTAGAACGTGCGCGCTGCGCTGTATCATACGGTCTGTCATTGAGTCAACGGGCGGGGCTTCGATTCCCCGGTTGTACGTGACAAGGAGTAGGGTTGCCTGTCCAACCTCGTGGGTTTTCTCCGGGTCCTCCGGTTTCCTCCCACTGCTAAAGACCCCTACGCGCAAGCGAATTAAAATTGAACCATGTGTTAGTCCCGAAATTACCTAGTTTGTGTTGAGTGGACGTTAAACCCCATCTCTCTCTCTCTCTCTCTCTCTCTCTCTCTCTCTCTCTCTCTCACCATATAAAATTCGAATTTGTCCATGAAAGAGTTTAGAAGAAGTCAGAAAACAATGAAATTATCACGTTACTCAAGGGAGATAATCTGTGTTAGAGACGTTAATGAACTTACTTAATGAAGCAAATGACTGGGATTAGTTAAATTGTGATTATTGTACACACTAAAAGAAACACTAAACTGTCGCTCATACAATTTACATAATAATGCTGTTTGGTAAAGTGTCGTAAGTTGTTAATAGATGTAATAAAATACTATACATACACTTCTAATATAAACACACTATGTACAAATATCACAGTTCTTAGCATTCAGGATAGCAAATACTACTTCCATCTACGTAGTTTGAATTATAAACAAATAAGATTCCCTATATATAATCATATTCGTTCGAAGATCCTCTCAATGGCGGTCGATTATGATATAAATTATTCCATCTTGATTTTTTTTCACTGGGGATATATGAATTGAGTAATTCTTCTTGCTTCTCTATTCTGCCGAATCACATATTTGTCTTCACATCATTCATACCCCTCGGCACTCCCTGTACGTCATTTGCCAGGTGATCTACAAGTCTCGTACGCCATTTGCCAGATGATCTACAAGCCGAGTACGCCATTTGCCTGATGGTATGCACGCCTTGTGCGTCATTTGTCAGATGATCGATCTCGATGAAAGTCGAGTAAATCTACTCCCAGGTAGTTTTAGTTCTTCTAAGTTTCTTCTTCTTCCTCCTCTTCATCGGACGATTCTTCTATTTCTCCAAAAATATTTTTACCATCGAGATCTTCTTTATTGTCCGCAATCGGAGGTTCATCTTTAGCTTGAAGTTTCAGAATTATAACTTCTGATTTCTCATAAAGTCCAAATGTTATCAATCGTCCATGATAAGCGAGTTCACAACACATAATTTTCGTATCCGGGGTAAACACCGCTAGAACTGTTGCATTTTGTATATCCCACACAGAAATATCTCCCGCTAAAACAATCGCTCTCTGTCCTTCATCAACAATAAATATCTTACTGCCCATAGAAAAGCGTAATCCCGAATACCCTTTGATTTTTTGCAATTGCTTCGTTCCCATTGGATCCCAAATGTGCAATTCGCTTGGAGATTTCCCAATAACAACACGATTAGCGGTATCCGTGATAGCTACCGCGCAGACGTCACTTTCATTTTTCAATCGTCGTTTTACATCCCCCGTTTTACAATCCCATAACGTGACGTAACTAATTTTGCTCTCCTCGTCATAGTTTGCGTGTACTAAATGGCTACCGTCATAAGTTAAAGCAGCGACATGCAGAAACAGCATTGAGTATTCGTTCTCTAAAATTTGAGTATGACGTTGAGAGGGGATATCGAAAACACATAAATGATGAGCGAAATAAGAAGCAACTAACGTCTTTTGATCTCCACTAACGATGAATTGTTCCATTGAATTTTCCTTTTCGTTCTTAAGATTCTGAAGTCTAGCGCGTTCCATTTCTCTTTCCTGCTGATCACGCCGTGTCTTAGCTGATTCTGACTCTGCTCGTAGATCCCATGGAGTCATCGACTGGTCTGAGTTGCGTTTTTTCTTTGTTCCCCCAACTCCCAACATGGCCATACCTTTTGCGAATTTTGTTTTAACGGGTTTTTCTTTGAACTCGGGTCGGATTCTGTACACAACGTGTCCAGAAACTAAGTTCCACACTACGAAATGAGATCGGTTATCGGATGGTCCCATCAGATGTTCGTCGTCCAAAAGTACATATTCATGAGACGGTGCCGGCACTATGTAACAACTAGACAATTTACGTTCATAACGCTTTGTTTCGAGGTTATAAATTAAAACCGTTTGGAAGACCGGTTTAGAATCATCGGTAGCATTAGAGAAACCCCGATCAGTGAGAATAACAAGCTGGCTATTTCTAGCAATAACAACGTCAGAAGTGTCAGTCATCCCCCTTTCAATTCGAACAGCAGTTTGTAAACACTTAGCTTTAGCTACATTCCACACGCTGATGGGTCCATGATTCACTGCTTTGGCTACGACGTAACGTGGATTTTCAACCATCGGGAATATCTGGCCGACTCCCATGGATTTCTTTAGTTTTGGTGCATGTTGATTAACCTTTTTACTTAAATTCCAGATGCGAAGAGTATTGTCATCTTTAGCAGCTGTTAAGCAGAATCGGAAATCACAGCAAGCACCAATGGTGGACAGCCGCGCGTGGGTGGCTAGATGTTTGTGATCCTCGGTTTCCAAGTTCCACAGAGCTATGTCCGACGTGTTGTTCTTTTCCGAAGTACAAACGGCTATAGCATGTGAACCATGCAGATTAAGATGTAGTTCTGTTATCTGATCATGCATACACCCACGGACACTACGGATATAGTAGCCCTTCTTGGTATCAAATAGCTCCAGTTGATGAATTTCATGCAACTTCATGTACTGCTGTCTACATCCCAAAACAAAATATTCGGCAGTTATGGCTAAAGCTACGATTGAGGAAGATTCCTCGTGGCAAACAAGCTTTTGAAGCACTTTCTTCGATCTAGCACCTATTACGAGAGCATAACTAGCACTCCTAAACGCAACCAGAACTCGTTCAGTCGGTGAGTTATCAGCAGCAAGAATTGAGCGATCTTTATGAATACAGGTTCCAGGAATACGTTCCTCTCCCATAAAGTTTAGACTTCTCAAATCCCAAGTTCGAATCATGTTGGATCCACAGAAGCAGGCGACCAGCAATGTTCCATCTCCCGCCGTTATTGTAACAGCGGGATCAACGTATTCGGCAATTGTAAACAGACACGCACCACTACTCATGGACCAGATCTTGATGACGTTTTCTTCGTTTGTTATAATGTACGTGTTATTCATAGCAAGTCGTATTCTGGTTACCCGGGAACCAACACCTACTATTGTTTTCACCACTTTCTCTGACCGGAGATCCCAGAGTTTGATAGTTGTATCAGCTGATGCTGTGACTGCTTTAAACCCATCATTAGTTAGAGTAACTGCTGTTATTGGTTCAGTGTGTCCTGACAGTAAATCAAACAAAATGCCACCAGGTTCCGTTAGGCACGCTGCCGATGGTATCAAAGCTGGTAGGGACGATTGTTGAGCTTGTGCAGCTAGCTGGTGGAGGTATGGATATCTTCGTGGATCCCCTGCTGTTGCTGGTATGTCTCTAGCTAAAATACCATGTAGCCTTCCAATAAGCTGAGAAGCTAGCTGTCGAGGTTCGCGTAGCAGAGCAGTAGTTGATAAATGGAGAGCGTCGGACAATGCCTTGAAATCAAAATCTTTGGGATCAATAGTCAAAACATACTGATATTCTTCCAACAGAGCAGTTAGAGATGTTCCGCACAATTTTGCCAAAATCCATTCAAAGTTACAGAGTGTTTCGGACTTGAGAACGTCTGGTTGATGGGAGTTTACAAGATGATATGGTAGCTCATTTATCTTTCGTAGATTGTAAATTCGATCTTTCCCATCTTGTTTAGATCCCTCAGGTTCAAAATAAAGTGGTTGAGGAGACACAAACCTTTCTGATCCTTTATCGTTACCGGGATGTGGTTTTGGTTTTTCGCACCAGATTCCACGGAAATACTCTGCTAGAGCTCTGTGGTAGGATGGTGCTTTATCTCTTTGGAGTAAGTATCTTTCTTGGGCAGCTTCAAAGAAATCAACATGAGTCCAACAAAGCGTAGTTGTTTTATCTGCAGATATTTTTAATAAATAATCCCCAAGATCAGCTTTCAAGCTCTCCCATCTGATTTGAGGTAAACGACGCTTGCATGGTTTATTGAAAGCCGTCACATCGTCCATAACAACATCGTCCAATGATAAAAGATCTTCCATTTCAGAATCTGTAATACCATTTCTAGAAGCAGTGATATAACCTAAAGCTCTGCGAACAATTGGTTCTCCATGATCCCTCTCCAGACGACCAAATTTGATAGTAGCGATCTTTTTAACAGTTTCGCCCAACTTTATCATATCGGGATTCGTATAAGAAGTCCATTCGAGTGCATCTTGGAAAGCTGTTTTTAGATATAGCGGTGTAGGACAGTTGCCAAAAGATTCCATAAGTATGTCGTATTGGTGTTCTGTTAACCCCTTCTTCTTAGAACTCAACCAGTGTTTGAGAATAGTGGCAGCATCATCTGATGGCAGTTTAGAAATCTCCAAAAGACAATCTTCGTTGCCCTCATACTGTTTTTTCAGTATATTGTAACATTGGTATTTTTCATCTGGTAAAGTTGATACAATAATATGAACATAGCGTGGTAGTTCTTTAGGCAACCAGATTAACTTTCTACCATCATGAGCATCTGAAGAAAAAAAAATTCCTGATGAATTAGTAAACTTAAAGTTATTCCGATGATGTAACTTATCCAGGGATTGGATAATATTAGCTGCAGATGATATGATGGTACAATATACTGAAGCATGTGTCGGTGACTGGCAATAATCATGCATATGGCAGGATGTGCTTATCTTTTTCAGAACACTTGCTACCAAATCTGTATCAAAGAATAAGAAAACATACTGCTTGTAACCCTTTAACGGTTTAATGCACACTAAAATAATAATAAATTTGGATTTTTGTGGTCCATTTTTGTCTGAATTGGCTAGCCTGGAGGTCGGGTGTTCGATCCATGCATTGGCCGAGAAAGTTCATCCAGATTTTCCGGCGTGGTTCCCCCTTGTCAGTGATGCAGAACGGAGGGCCTGACAAGAACAGCTGTCTAGTCCTTTGGATGAGACTAAAAACCGAGGTCCCGTGTATATATTTGAATGCACGTAAAAGATCCCCTGGCAGTTGGAATTCGATATAAGAGTAGGCGATAATGCCGCTGCCCGGCAAAATTTCCCTCATAGCACACTGTATGGCGCCTGTCCGTCTTCATTAGCCCAGTATAGGAACAGAACAGTAGGACGTTAAACACCATTTCATTTCATTTCATTTTGTCTGAATTATAAGCACCTACCTGATAACCTGTCTATAGCATCTAGTATAATGACTAATGGTTTATCTTTACTGGCCTGCTCCATTCTATAACTAAAATCATTTATTACACCTTTATAATCCTGAAAATAGAAATAAAAAAAAACAATAAACAACAGCAGAAAGAGTTTATATGGTTCGTTTACCAACCACTTCAAACAATGAACACTTTTAAGTCATAGTTAAAGATATTAATTTTCAAGCAATCACATGACTAGCGCTTTTGGGTAGTTAACTGGAAAGAGTGCGCCCTGCGTACAAATTCATAATCAGGGGCAAATCCAACCCCTAACCCCCACCCCTGCTCAGCTACATAAAAAAATTGTAAAACAACACTTTTATGTGAAAAGTGTCACGGTCATGTGTTTTATCGTTTATCATCAGATGGTGGGATGTGATGGGCATTTAAAGCGCGAGATAACAATATAGACATGTGTGATATCACAATTAATGCTTTGCATCAATGAAATTGAACCGCAATGTGCTCCTATTAATTCATAATAAAAATTGACGTCAAAAAGCTCAGTGTGTATGTATGCCTACGTTATTTGAAAACTATGATGGCTTTATGCATTATCAACTGTCAAATGTCCGTAACACGAATCAGGTAACCCCCTCCCCCCTCCTCTTGCAAAAATTCCTGAATCCGCCCCTTATATTTTATAAAAACACAGACTTTATTTCTTGGCGATATAAATCTGTATTTTCTCAGTAATGTATTATTAGCAGAATCAGAAATTAGTCTATCACAGATTTACAGTATTACACTGATTTGAATACAAAACTGAGACATGTTCTTATCTGGTCTAATCTTCGTTTGATGAAACGTACTTTTTACATATTTCCAATTTTGCACAGATATTGTCTCGCATTAAACATGTAATTCAACATAAACATTTGGCGTGTTTTTTTATCTTGTCTGTTTTTACTGTTATATGACACAGCAAGCAAAAAATTGCCTTGCATTAGAAAAGATATAAGGTATATTTTTTGATAGTGTCGGAATGTAAGTAAAGCGGGGCGGATGTAAAATGCATGATAAACTGACAAATCCGTTCATCTATTTGTTCGCGTCAGTTTTCTTAGTATTATCGCAGTTCTGGTTTTTGGTAAGTGTCTTGCCAATGGTGCTGGACTGGGATCCTGGCAAGGACCGTGTCTAGTCCTTCGGGTGGTATGGAAAACCAAAATCCGGTGTACACAGTGTCGTGTACCTGAATGAATTCTTGATAGTTGGAATTCGAAATAATAATAGGCCTAGCATAGGCTCATGCGCTGTCCGGGAAAATTTCCCCCAGAGCACACTGTAAGGGGTATTCCAAGTCGGCGCAGAAGAGAAAAGAATGTAGAAAAGCGATGTACCCTTCTTTATTTTTCAACCAACTAAAGAAGAGTACATCGCTTTTCTACATTCAAGCGCAAAGATAGACTCACAAGTAGATAAGGGCAAAATTAGAAAAGTGGAAATTCCTTTTGAGTCACTGATCCCCCTCGAACCGTAGTGATTGTTAAGTTTAGATACACTATGAACTGATTGTAATGTTGAATGTGTCTATAATCGCTTTCTTGTTATGTACTTGTATGTTAATGTATATTACTGTATTATATTACGAATTACAAATTACAGTCAATAAACCAGTTTTTAAAACAAAAGAAAAACAAAGAAAAGAAGGACGTTGACCCACCCCCACCCCCATGCCAATTCATTTCAGTTTCTCTTTTCTATTGTATTAAATAATTGCTTGTCACTTCATGAACTTGGGAACTTGGTCAATAGTGGGTGTTGATTAGGTTGTTTTTACCCGTTTCAAGATGCTAATCTAATAACGGAATTTATTTCTTGTTTAAGTGGCATTTAGAATTATCGACAGGTTTTAACAGTAACATAGGAAATGGTACTAATTTTAATGACTATTCACAATTCCAATAAAAAATATTGGATTATTTGTTAGCGGCTCAATATTAAACTCGTTAGTCATTTAACAATCACACAAAGTTAATATTTTTGAAAAATTTATTTGGAAAAAGTTAAATTGTTTTATAATTTTCCGTCACCTTATTTTCGTTTCGTTTTTGTTATAGCCCGCCACTTAAAATACATCAGGGTGAATGCCAATCTTTTTCCATTGCTACATTTTCTTGAGCCAATATAAAATGTATTACTATTTTTGAAATACTGTGTTGGAAGAGACATCTCTTTTCTGCCACCTATTGCTTTTGACTTCAGGTTAGTGATGCAGGACGGAGGGCCTGACAAGGACAGCTGTCTAGTCGTTCGGATGGGACGATAAACCGAGGTCCCGTGTACACATTGGCGTACACGTAAAAGATCCCGTGACAGTTGAAATTCGATATAAGAGTAGGCCGTAGTGCCGCTGTTCGGGCAAAATTTCCCTCATAGCACAGTGTATGGCGTATGTCCGTCTTCATTAGCCCAGTTCGGAGCAGAACAGTAGGATGTTAAACCGGATAAACCCCATTTCATTTCATTTCAATTTTACTTCAGGTTACTAAAATCCGCCATTTCGGAAGTTCGTGATAAACGACAGTTAAGACCAGCGGACATAGTGTATCCAGAGATTTTTCCCGGACAGAGTCCTTTTCGCGTACTCCTCATCGTATTCCATGGTTAGAGAGTGCGCGTTGTATCATAAGGTCTGTCATTGAGTCAAATATATAAAAATAAAACGAAACTAAAGAACTAAAGATTAAAACATTGCTAAAATCTGGAAAAACCTACCCTTGCGACCTCCGAGTACTTATTATCAAATATTTCACACATTTGAAGACAAATACTTCTAAGTAATGTTCTGATATTGGTAGATGTCACAGTTGTAGCTATCTGTCTGTAGATTACTCGTATATCACTTCTAAAAAAAACCCAAAAACATTAATCATATTATATTATATTGAACATATTTATCATTGTATCAGATGGCTGGATTTTTAACTGGGTTAAATTCTTTCAATATTAAGACGAATGACGTCTCCAGAGGTAGTGTAATCCGTTTATAGATTGTGGGATGTTCAATAAGTCATGTTGACTCTTGTTTGATTACTACGTTAGCTCACATGATTCTATTCTTTTTGTAATCTTATTACATATATATGTATTTTAACACTTTATGTACCTGGTTCTGGGAAACCGATTTATATGTCATTTGCATATTTCGCTATTGTTTGAATCAACTACGCGAGAAGTATTATCTGCGATATCACCTTATTGGGAAGCGGGCGACATCAAGTCAAGTTATGGAATATCACTTACCCTTTAAACCATCTATATATTTCTTTTGATGTTTTAGCTAATAGCGCCGATTTACCAGTACCTGATTTACCATAAACAACTAACGGTAGGGTAGTATCTGATCTCATGTAGGCTTTTATTGTCTGTAAAACATCTTTACAACCTTGAAAATGGGCAGCTCTATAAAACAAAAACAAAATACGTTCGTTAAATTATTACTGATATGCCTTTACGACCTCAACAAAGGGAAATTCTATTAAACAAAAAGAATACGTTAGCTGAATTATTAATGATAAACTTTTTCATAGCGGTAATGCGAAAGCCTTCTTATATCGAATTCCAACTGTCAATGGTTCTTTTACGTGCACCCCAGCGTGTACACAGGACGTGGTTCATTTATTCATACAATCCGAACGACTAGATACTCTTGTTCTGAACCAAAGACAATTATACACCACGCTGAGAAATCAGCGCCTTATTCACCGAGCTACCGCGACTCCTCGGTAAATTTATTCAAAATTGTTCGCCTTATCTTAACTAAAATATAGCCCTTTTATAAAACTTTTTGTTATTTTAATGTATTAAATACACCAATAAGAAACTATGAGCAAAGTTTTGTGTTTCTGAATCAAAGATATTTCTTATAAACAGTGAATGAAAGTTGTTAACTTCTTAAGTCTGAGAATGCTTTGTGAACTCGGGGCTCGGTGTGTTTGTTTGGTTATAGAATATATAGTAGCCTAATTTTTTTATAATAATTGAATAAACAAGTAATATGTTACTAATAACGTTAATTAAAGATACATTATGGGAGATTCGGTAACGAGTTGGCAGTTCTCGCTATAATAGTTAAAAGCTAGATAATGTATAAGCAATTTGGTGAAAATTTCATTCAAACTGATCCACTATGAACCGAGAACTAAGCGACTGAACTTCCCATAAGCCTCGGTCATCATTACTAAAGTCAGTACGATAAACAGCATAGTCACGATTATCCATTTAATCGTTTAATCGAGAAGGAAAGTTATGCTGTAAATCGGTTTACAATCCACGAAAGATCGCAGGCTAGCGCTGCCATCTAGAGTTGATTATGGCCTGGATAGGTTAATTAATGTCTAATTAATAATTTAGATAAAGACCTGGGCCCTTATTCACGAAAATTTAAACTAAGATACAATCAAAATTTTAAGAAATACTGCAATTCGATTGGCTGACCAGTAAAATCAATTTGCATATATCCAATGAAGTTGCAGTATTTCTTAAAATTTCGGTTGTAACTTAGTTTAAGTTTTCGTGAATAAGGGCCCTGAAAAAGGCAGATTTAGCTCTTGCATAATGTATGTTTAAGTGTATAAGTCGAAACATTGTCAGTTCCCGTTTGCGAGTTTCAGGTCAGAAAACAGACGGCAATGGAACGGTGCCCAATGGTTAAGCCCACTCCAACACAATCATTTAACACTATTATGTAAAATACAACGTCCACTAGATTGGATATCTAACCTTTTATGGCACTGAGCAACGTGTTGAGCGACTTCATTACAAAGTTGTGTAGCTTCATTTATCTTTTTATCTTTTTTCTCTAGAGCTGTGCCAATCTCTCTTTTTAACGTATCAAATACAAGTTTACACAATCTTTCTGTATATACAGCATGCTCTCGTTTACCCAGGGGATTAATACCGCCCGTATGCCATTCAACCTCTATATCATTTCGGTATAGTTCCGGTACCTAGAAAAACAAATCACGATCATCAAATATAAATGTCCGTAGTGCAAAAAAACAAAATGACGTTTGTCGACTTGTCAGTTTGGAACGTGATTAAATGTCTGATCACGAGAAGATCTGGTAATTGTGTGCAAATTGTACTATTTCTACAATTGCATCCCATATTCCTTTAATTTCTAACTAAATACTGACAGAATAGCCGCTGCCGCCATCATGTTAGGCTCAATCGATCCAGCCCAATTGGTTTCGGTTTCGATTAATTAAAATCACCCGATGACCTATGACGCAATATAGGCAACTGACCCTATTTTGACCAGACCAATATTCATTGTAGTCAAAGCGGGGTTCGTTCGTTCGTGTGTTGGGTTTTGCGTCCGCTTCCACCTTGGGTGATATCGCCGACAAGTGATTCCTAAGAAACTTGCTAGAGAATCCACATAATAGGCTTAGTCCAGCTTATCAAAGCGTGGAATTTTTTTTCTTTTTGTAGCAGGGTGTTATTTTACCAGAACTTGTATGGGTTGTATTATTACCTTTACGGGTAAGACCTGATCACGTAGATGTTGGATTCTCTCGTCTCGTGAATTATCCATCTGTTGACTTCTGGGATGAGTGACGTCAAGATACTTGGCGGAAGCGACGTCAGCTAGGCTGTTTCTAACGCCTGGTATCGTTCGCTTGACCAGAAAACTATGTGGTCTGGAAGTATCTGTCTCTAGACCATGTTCTAATTCCATATCAAATACTACCAAAAAAATCGTTAAGGAGAACCATATGAACAAATACAGAAACGGCACATCTTCAGAGGGTATTATCAAGAATAATAAAGGGGCATTATGTAAGATTGCATAAAGATCTGGCAATTCTCGCTATAATAGTTAAAACATTGATAATAAAAAAGGAATATGTTGAAAATGTCAGTCAAATTACGTCACACTGAGTCGAGTTGTCGCCGTTAGAGGAACCGTGTAGACGCGATTGCCATTGCTACCGTTGTTAAGATAATAAACAAAGTCTCGATTATTCATTTTTAAATTAAATCATTAACTGCCAATCGTAGTTAAATCAGTTGAAAATCAAAACCATCCGAAGTTTTAGAGAGCTGATTATGGACCTGACATACATGTATAATTAATGATTTATATACTGATGTGCAAAAGAAAGTATACACACTAAAAGTATGACTAAGTTTTGTTTAGATTAAAAACATCTGATAAAGCATTACTGAGTTTGTCTCTTGCGTCCAAACTCAACATTTCTAAGCAAAATAAAAATGTGAAACAAATTGACATTCTACCCAAATACCGTATACCATGGAAAAACGATTTTGCTTGATGCAGCACAAAATGCACAGTGCATACTTTCTTTTGGACATTAGTGCCAACGGAAGATCTGAATTAGGCAGGTTTAGCTCTTGGATAATGCATCTTTACGCATAATAAAGGAAATGGCCTATTCCTTAAAAATCGGAATTATCATCCAGGTCCGTCATAAAGAAATTCGGGGGGGGGGGGCAACTAAAAATACATATTTGCAAATTATTGGGGGATGCCCTGTCATCAATTCTTAATCTAATCAGTAAGAATGGAATTGGCTTTAAGATCTTGATAATTTTCAGACTAACATACGGTAATCCTATTTCTATCCAGGTGGTCATTGTGCGTGGATTCCGGAGCTGCCTGACAATGGATCTTTTACGTGCAATGCGAATATATACAGGGGGCATGGGTTTATTGTTTCAACCAACCTATTTGTCAGCACCTCCCTACCGTGATTGAAAATGGGAGACAGTTGGTTAGTTACAATGCAGGTTAAAGGGAGATAACTATAGCTATTCATCCATCAGTCACCACTCGCGGTTGATATTTGGTAATTACACATCTCAAGAATATTTATACCATAGCAACTTTTGATGTTTTTAATTGTCTATTCCTCTGCATCAACATTCTGTAAAGTGATTAAGGGTCGATATTGGGGTAATAATAACCCCCAATAACCACATAATTTGAATTTCACATACACAAGGAGATCATCTTTACTGTTTTGGTCGATGTGTACGTTAAATAGCAATCTGTTTCCACAATTGTTATCCGAAATATAACCCGCAGGCTCCACCTGCCCTTTAGATCAAAAGGTATGTCACAGGGTCAAGTGGTTTCGACAAGATAGGTTCGCCTGTCAAACCTCGCCTGTACAACCTCGTGGGTTTTCTCCTGGTCATAATTTATCTACTTACTTGACAGAAAATATTTTCTTCTTTCTTCAGGGGATTCAACAACCTGGGTTGCATATTTTTGTATTGTTTTCTGCATTTTCTTCACCACCGATATATAGTTATTCTTTGCTTGATTTCTTTTAGCAAAATCTTTGTTTAAAATATCTTTGTAAGATGAACTGAAATGTGACAAGAAGTTGAGATTATTGGTCATAATATTCTGCATAACAGACTCTTAATCTATGGATTGCTAGTCAGGCGTGTGTTTAAAATAAAGAAATTGAGAAACCTCATGTTAAATTTCTGAAGTATAGGAATAGTTGATATTGGCGATAATTTACTCTATTCCACGGTGTATGTCTAGACTGTATTATTAATATTTCGTTTCGTTTTATTTTATTTTCGTTCCGTATAAAGTTCTCAGTTTATCATACCGCGTCAAAACTGTACAGTAATATTCATGCTTCGTTTCGTTTTATTGTTTTTCTGTTTTTAAATTCTCGTCTTAGATAACCATGGCAAGGACGGCGACCAGGCCTAATTAAAGTTATGCCTTTGGTTGAGTGTGCATTACGGACAGAAGGTGGACCTCAATTGCTATTACAGGTCATTGCTGAGGATCTGAGGTCTGCCCATTCGGTCCAGACAATGAAAAAGGTTCAAACATATCAAATCAGTACATTATTATGATATAACTAATATTTCCATAGACTTGGGATCAGTTTAGTTTCTGTTAAACATGCATTATGCAAGAACTCAATCTGCCTATTGTAGGTCTTTCTTTAGGTCTTAAATGTTATATAAACTATTAATAAGACATCTGTTAACATGATAAGACAATAATCAACTCTCGATGCCATCTGATGGGTACGATCGATTTTAAACGGATTTGAATCCGATCTGCGATTCAACGGCTGTTCATGATTACTCGTAAAAATGGATAGTCGAGACAATCGGGGCTACAGTGTTTTTGAAATTTCTCGGCTCAGAGTGAAGTAATTTGAATGAAATTTTCAGCATATTCTCTTTACGTTATCTATGCTTTTAACTATTATAGCGAGAACTGTCAGTTTTTTATCTAGTCTTACATAATGCATCTTTAAATAGAAAATAGAAATACTGTCAGTGTTTATGTTCCATACAGCACAGATGAATTCATGTAATTACTAGAAATACTGTCAGTTTTTATGTTCCATACAGCACGGACGAATTCATGTAATTACTAATACCTAATATTTTGTAAGCGGTAAACAGGAGGAACACAATTTTCATCCAAGATGTACCACTGTTCTAACATATCCGTATCTGGTAGGTCTTCTTCTCGAGCTTTCAAATCTCTAATAGATTCCTTTTTGACAAGACTTGCCCGTCTTCGTTGTCGTGCAGTTGGTTCCGGATTACCGTCACTAAACCGATCGGATTCCGTCTTGTTATCCGCGCCGTCGCCGCCCTCCACTTTTGAGTCAATGGCTATCAATTGTTCTTTGATTGACGACAGTTCGGTTTTGTGGAAGGCCTTAGCAGCTGATAAAATATCCTCAAATTCATCCTTTGGTATTTCATTTGGTAACATATACGTACCATATTTCTCACCACATATTATCTATAATATAAATCATCACAGAGTTAATATCTAACATAATGCCAAACTTAAGGTTCAAATTAACAATGCTGTCTCAATTTTTCGTCATCTTTAAGGCCCGCGAACGAGTCACTGCTTTTTTTAACGATGGAAGTATCATCAATGCAGTTATTAAACCTAGAGCATTGTCTCATGAATGTCGATTAAAGACCGAAACGTTACCATTAAACCTCGCCTAAATCTACACTAGCCTCTGTTCTTCTTGGGTTAAGGGATCCTTAACTTACTTATTCTTAGATGTTTTACTTATTATTAGATGTTTTACTTATTCTTACTTTTACTTAAACCTAGAGGATGCTATCCATAACATATTATATTGCTTTCACTATATATCCTTTAAAGATATAATACACAAATACCTAGATGATACGGTATGGTTCTATGGAAGTTCAATCCAGTATACTAAATCGTTGCTATCAGTGGACATACACAAATTTACGCAAGAGTATCGATTAAAAGACAATAACCCACGATTTAATCTGATTTCTTCTACAGCTAGAATACCAGTTATATTAAAACCTATTTTGATTTAGAATTGTAATTTACAGATACCAAGATCGTATTTCCTGTTGGGGATTAAACAATTTTAATTTTGGTTATTGAAAATAGTTGTGCTTGTATGAGCCCAGAAACAAAATTAGGCTGTTAATACTTTAATACTGTAGCTTACCAGAAAGTCTATAGCTATCGAATCTTCCTGACATTCTTCTATAACTTTCTTACATAGTGCTGGTATTTTATGACCATCGCTGATCTCATCCTGTAGCGACCAGTGTAGATCTATAGCTCTGAAATCATACCCTAGTTCCTGGCAATATCTTCTTACTCTAGGATACACTTTCTGCATTAAGATCGTATTTTCCGTTTCAGTTCCTGTAATAAAAAGTAACCTCAGTTTCCAATCGAGTATTATAAAGAATGGCATCTACTTGATGCTGAGGACGAGAACTATATCTCCTTCAAACCTAGTCAAGCGATATTATAATTTTTAGATTACCCTGGGTGAAGGGTGGGGGTGGTCTAACGCATGTACTTTAGATCATGAGGTCTGTCATTGAGTCAAGTGGCGTGGGTTTTGATTCCGAATTTGTACATGACAAGGAGTAGGATAGCCTGTCCAACCTCGTGTGTTTTCTCCAGCGCCTCCGTTTTCCCCCCACTGCTAAAAGACCCCTACGCGCAAGCGAATTATTGAAATAAAATTGAACCATATGTTAGTCCAGACATGACCTAGATTGTGTCAAGTGGACGTTAAACCCCATTTTACTATTTCCTCATAATTATAGTTCTTTACACGCTTACATTGCCGATTTAATTTCTTGTCCTGATTATAACAATCTGATTAAAACACAGATCATATTTCGTTTGATTTTTTTATAGATCAAAATTTCGTTTTCCTTGTCTTTACTACACTAGGATCTGGAAGAGTTGTTATGTAACCCGTGTTCTGGTTGAAGTGACGGGTTAGCCAATGAAACGGTCTGTTACGGCGAATTTTTAATGTAACAAAGAGAGAGCATAAAAGATTTACCTGCGAACTCAGAGCAGACGTAAAGATTTATTATCCTTGATTCTGTTCGACATCGCCTTTGAACGTATCCCTTTACTATCTGCTTCATTTTATTTACAGTTGACAAAGCTGTGTTTTCTCGGGTTTCAGGTCGGAAAGCTATTGGAGTTGTTACTGGACTAACGTCGGTAAGCCTGAACCCGACTCTTTTCTCAACGATCGGTGTTTCGGGTGGTTTATGTTGCGTCAGCTCAAAAACTTCTTTATCATCTTCGTCCATGGATTCAGCTTCCGTGGTCGTTTCGCCAGCAGTAGTTGCCGCCATCGTAACGGATTTCTTTTGTTTAATTTCCACACCTGGTTCGGGTGATACTTCTGATTTGGACACGGTGTCGTTTTTTTGTTCGGATGGTTCTTTTGTTGGCTGATTGTTATCGCCATTATCTTGGTTGGTTTCCTCGGGAAGTTCGTCTTCTGGAGACTGATTACCGTTGACGATTTGGTCATTATCATTCTGTTCAACCGATTCATTGGTTGGTAGAGGATCAAGTTTAGGTTTGCGGGGTGAATGGCGTGTTGTGGAAGTGGTTTTATCGCTATCGCTTGAAGGTTGTGATTTTACCAGAATTTTTTCTCCAGTATCGGAATATTTACTGAATATATTTCTTTTGTCAGGAAGCTAAAAAAATAAAAAAATCACAGGTTTTTACAAGATTAAATGGATTTCCGGACAAATCAGTTTTTAGTGTTTCATTTTATATAAAAACCTAAGCCTGTGCTTAATTTGAAACCATATTCAAACAATTTTTCCGTCTTCATTAGCCTAGTCGGAGCAGAACAGTAGGGCGATAAACCCCATTTCATTTCATTTCCTTTCAAACAATTTAATAAATTGTACAGATATAATTCTAACCCACCTTTCCTGTTTGCTTCGATTTAGCTTGGGACATTCGAAGGAAGTACTCAGCATCCAAGTCATCATTTGTATCACTGTATCTCTGTTCTATACGTTTACTTAATTTACGCTGAAAACAAAATGAAACATATCGTTACAATGTTTTGTGCCATGTCATAGGTACATGTAGGAAAGGAGTTCCCTTACCGTGACTTGGGGGGTGGGTGCAAGTTTACAATTCACAATCATCTAACGCATTAAAGCAAAAAAGGTTCATTAACTACTGATTGCATCAAGTGGTATAATGCTAACCGTTGAACTTTGAGGTATTGTGCCGCAATATGTTTGACCGGCAGTATTTAGAATAGTACAGTTTCTTCTGTTACCCCCCTCCCCGCCCCCAAACATTCACAGGTTTCCAACAATTTAATACATGCCTTAGCTAGATTTGCCATTTAATACGATATCGTTTTAACTTACGCAATTAAAACCTCACGTGGTGCCGGACAACACAGAGTATGAAAAGCCTTCAAGGACAAAAATAAAGGGAAGCATTTTTGTCATCACCTGCAGCATGATAATTATCAAAAATAATTTTTACTTTATTACTTTGTGGCCTGGACTTTTGGCTGGCCCTGGCCCTCGGGCACGTGCCGTATTGGCCTAATGGTTTTGAAAAACTAAATAACTTACCCTCAAATGACTTACAATCTTTTTATCTAAATCTACACTAATCTTCTTATATTTTCTCTGTAGAACACCTTCAATACCAGCAACCTTTAGATAAGGAATAAAAATAACTGCATTTAGTAATAAAAATTAAATGAGGTTTAATTTGACGTCTCTCTTCTGCATTGACATGGCATAACAAACTTAGGTTATATGTCAACAGTTACCTTAGACACTAAGCTAGCTGAACGACATTTTAAGTCCTAAATTGAAAATGTTGATTTAGTCTTTTTGTGTATGACGGATTAGAAACGCATCACAAATCAGTATAGAAATTTAGGGCAGAGATCTATTCTCGAAAAATACAGTAGACGGACACAGATCCTATTTCGTTTCGTTTTTTTATAGTTCAAAATTTCGTTTTACTTGTCTTTACTACACTAGGATCTGGGTGATGTGAGGGGTTAACGAATTAAACGGTCTGTTACGGCGGGTTTTTGGCGTTAGGTGCACGGAACTGTGGGTAGCCCACTAGAAACATCAACACTGATTGACCAATCAAATTTCTGACGTCATAAGGGTCAAAAGAGGCTCGTATGACATCTGACTCGACTTCCCACTACAACCGCTCAGATCTTCATGTAGTGTAGGCCATCGAAAGTATAAAAAAATGAAACGAAATATAGATCTGTATTGTAATCAGGTTGATATTACAAGAAGATTCAGCAACCCAAAGCCTGCTCCCTAAATTTGTTTCCATGGTAATACAAAATTTATTTTTTTAGAAAAATGTAATTAGTAAAATGCACACCCATAAATAGGTTAATGTATGTGTAAATTAATTTCATAAAGATGACTTTAACTTGAATTGTTCATGGGATATGCTCCGGACACAAAACTGAGACGAAAGAAAGAAAGGTATCCAATTTAGAGAGAGAGAGAGAGAGAGAGAGAGAGAGAGAGAGAGATGGGTTTAACATCCACTCGACACAAACTAGGTCATTTCGGGACTAACACATGGTTCAATTTTATTTCAATAATTCGCTTGCGCGTAGGGGTCTTTAGCAGTGGGAGGAAACCGGAGGTCCCGGAGAAAACTCGCGAGGTTGGACAGGCGACCCTACTCCTTGTCACGTACAACCGGGGAATCGAAACCCCGCCAGTCGACTCAATGACAGACCGTATGATAGTACCTCTCACATAAAATCGTTCAGTGCGGGATACCGAACATGACAGAAAGTAAACTGTCATGGGAATACAAAATTTATTCAAAAAATGTAAATTAGTAAAATGCACACGTTTAAGTAGTTTAATGTATTCAAATTGTTATAAAGATATTTTCAGTGGTTCGTGAGATGTGTTCCAGAAACAAAACCGGGACGCAAGAAAGAACGGGGCCAAAATTAGTACCTCTCACATAACATCATTCGGTGCAGTCAAACGAACATGACTGAACGTAGACTCGCGGATAATAGTGAGATTCATGCACGATGCAAATTAGTTCCAACAGTATTATATACTTACATCTTCAGTAAAGGCGTGAACAGAAGCTCCTTTCTTCGGTGCTCGATAGAAACTGGATTCTGTTTCTAAAGGTGGTAAAATATTACTTCTTCTTCGACCTTCGTCTGCTAACTGTAAGGAAGAAGATATCACATGCTGGTTACTGGCAACAAGTAATTAAAAATATAATAGCAATTATCGAATCCTACTAATCATTTATTGTTTTAGTCAATATCACCCAAAGATTTCATAAAACATTGACAAAATTATGGATACGTGAAATTGACAGATGAAACGCTCTCGTCGATCCTTAGTAGGTGATTAGTAGAACTGATGACCCTTGTTCCGGTCAACTGCTGGAAAATCAACCATTGTATGACACATTGTAAACAGTAAACTTAGTACATGATCAATTTCGTAATCAGTTATTTCCGTATCAACTCCAAGTTGATTGACGCTTTGTAATAACTTGGAGATATTTCGTAATCAAAAGCCCAACATTCATTACAAGCACGTGTTATTTTTCATAATATGTTATTGGGCATTTAAAAACCTTAAGACTAATTTTGTGACCACGTGAACAAGGGTAGGATGTATGAAGCTGAACAAAATATACGGTTTTGAAGGTGTATCACACAATTAAAAGCTAAAACAAAAGATATGTATTTTTATTTTGTTTCAACGAATATCAACTAAAAAGCTATACATTGGACCAATTGTTGCCCATTGGGCTTTGTGCCCAAGTGGACCCCGAGACTCCTAGCCACGACAATCTACTTCGAACTATTAATTATAAAACATATTTGGCAGTGAGCCTTTGAGGTGGGGACACGCCTTTCGCTACCCTACTGTTAAAGTTCTATTTTACAACTTAATAAATTAAGACACAGAGTGAAATCGAATTGACAATCGATCCTCTTCTGACCAGCTATGTGTGTTTCTTAAAGGGTGTATGTCTCTTTTTTAGAACTTTAAAATAGGCGAAAATTGGTCTAAAAGCACTTATTAATGTAATATGAATGTATGAATAAATACGTGAACAGTCCTGCTTAGTCCATTCTAAATGTTTGGGTTTTTTTTTTTAATTATTTATTATTAATTTGACGTTTGTGAATCAGCCATTACTAATTTGCATTGAATATGGTTTTCTATGTTTACTACAAATGGCATCTGAAACCATAGAACACGACCCGTGTATTGAATTTAAAATGTTCATTATGTCTTAAATATTAGATATTAGGATCACACATTTTCACATCAAGATAACAACATCATTATTGATTGAAATGGACCAATATTGAATTTTAATTGGTGTTTCTAATTTCGAATTTTATAGAAAATATTAAGTTACAGATTTAGCTCCTTTAAATCGTTGACAAAGGATCATAATATTGCCCTTTTACACTCTAATTTCTAATTCGAATGGTTGAAAATACAAAACAATTGACCTTGAATGAAAGAAGATCGGACAAAAAAGCGATTAATTATTTCTCTATTATGAAGATAATGTACTTAATATTAATCCGATATAACATTCGTAACCTTTCAGTGTTCTTCGCACCGGGCTTCTACCCCCATTCAAAGTTCGTATTCATCAAAAATAATTAAGACATGTTGCCGGTTTTAGAATTCTCAATGGTCTAAAAACATCAATCAATTGAAATAAAAGAAAGGCGGAATGAATGGGGATTATTTAGACTAGTGGTATAGTCATTAATCAATGAGAGGCACTTAATGATCGTGTCTTACAAGACACTCGGGAAAAATAGTTTCTATGTTGAAGGGAAGGTCGGTTCATTAATACATATTATACCTTTTGCCATATAAGCACTGAATGCATGTTTACTTAAATGTATGAAATGGGGTTTAAAGTCCTACTTTTCTGCACCGACTGGCTGAATGAAGACGTTCACCAGGTGCTAAGACTATGAGTGAAATTTTACCCGGACAGCAATTGAATTCACACCAAGCGTTATTTTACGTGTCCTACCCGAACGACAAGACGCTGTTCGGGGTATTTTTTCGGCGAACACCTCGTGTTAAGTTAAAAGTAAAGGTAAAATAATATATAATGTAAAATAATTTTTAAACAATATATTCAAAATAACCCCATCCCCAATGTAAATATCGACAATCCAAGTATACACAATAGGCCGCTACAATCACTGAGAAAGGTGACATCGGTGGGGGTTAATTAACTTTTTTCCACCTGAAAATTAAATTCTAGGACGTTTTCTTACAGTATTAGAAAAATGAATAAACGTGTTTGATGTATATCTGGATAAAAAAAATAGTTCCTATTTAGTGTAAATGGGTATATAAAATGAGTAAAAGGAACCATTCTGCCCGAACCAGTTTACGCTTATCGAGCCAATGATTGACGTCGTGTGATGTAACGTCACATGTAGAGGACATACTTGAACTTATAAAGGTCAGTCGTGTTATACAGAGTTATAAGAAGGTTTTCGCAATACCTCTGTGAAATAGATTGTCGAGTATACTGACCTACGCGGAGTAAGACAGATTTCTTAACTGGCGTAGCAGGCCTGAGAAATGGTACGATGTGAGTGTCAGTGGAAGTGGGGGCAGGTATGAAGGGGTACAAAATGTCGCTTGTACGATGTCCTATATTAACCACTAATTAATAATTATGTCATTCAATTACTGCTTATTACTGAGCGACGTTTCGACTAGAGAAGCCTAGTCGAAACATCGCTCAGTAATAAACAGTAATTGAATTCCATAAAATTGTTACCTGTATACTCCAGTTCAATTACTAAATGCCAATGAAACAGTTTAATTATGTCCTACCTTTTCACGGTTTGTATTTCTACTCAAACTTAAGTGACAACATATCATTGCTATAACATTTAATCTCTACAATTATTTAATGTAGTTCATGTTATTGTTATTTGTCAATTTATTCAAGTTTAGTCAAATAGAGTAAAATCATGCCAACACCAGTTGAACTCCTTGAAAACCACTAAAACAATTTTCATGCGACCAAAGCTGAATAGTCAAATAACGTTAAATAGAAAAAAATAACTCTTATTAAAGTGGCGTTAGGTAAGATTAGATAAAGAGCTGACTGTTCTCGCTATAATAGTTAAAAATTAGATAGTGGAAACAGAATATGCTATTAGCCATTCAATTTTAGGCTTGCCTCGATCGTCATTACAACGTTCATACGATAATACGAGATTATCCATTTTTACGTTAAATTATCCATCACAAAATGTATTCAGATCCACTAAATATCGCAGGTTAACGATGGCATCGAGAGTACTGATGATTATGGTCTGGATAAGTTAATTAATGTCTAATTAATAATTTAGATAACCTTTCAGGTCTAAAGAAAGACCAGCAATAGACAGATTTAGCTCTTGCAAAATGCATGTTTAACAGATTATCTACAAGAGGTATTATTTAGAAATAATTCAATAAGATATATTTCTTATTGTTCTTTCGATTTATGTTTCAATATAAACAAAATAACTTTAATTTAATCATCCATACCTACAAACTCGTAATAGTATAGGTCTGTAAAAATCCAACATGGCGGCTTAACATCATATAATATAGTCATTGTTGTATTATTATAAATAACTCTTCACTGTTCATTCAGCTAGATTAACTTTTATATCTTTTAGGGCTTCAATATTTTACGCTCAGTTATTCTCAATTTAATGGAGATCATATGTATTTTGTAAACAAGCTATTAAATGGAAATTGTATAGAGATAAAATGAGTTTATGTATATCGTTAATCATTAGATCTTGAATAATTTAATAGAGATCATTGTGTATTTTGTAAACAAGCTATTAAATTGAAATTGTATACAGGAGATGAAATAAACTTAGTATATCGTGATCATCATTTCTTGAGGTTTCGGTATGACAAAATTGTAGTATACCGTTGATCATTGACTATTAAGAGGTCTTCGTATGACAAAACTTTACATTATTTGTTTATGCTTGTTTCATATTAACATTATATTTCAACATACGTTTATATCTTATCTGCTTTGTTGTTCCATAGGATTATTAGAACGTAACGTATTTACGACATACAAAGCTTGCCAACCGCAACGTTTGTAATTATATTTCAACATACGTTTATATCTTGTCTGCTTTGTTGTTCCATAGGATTATTAGAACGTAACGTATTTACGACATACAGAGCTTGCCAACCGCAACGTTTGTAATTATATTTCAACATACGTTTATATCTTGTCTGCTTTGTTGTTCCATAGGATTATTAGAACGTAACGTATTTACGACATAAAAAGCTTGCCAACCGCAACGCTTGTAATTATATCTCATATTTTTACGCCCACTTCCACCCCCAATAATTCGCTCTTTCAAAATTTCCTATAAGACACTCGTATTGAGTCCACGATTTGGTACGTGCAGATTCGTTCGGATACATTTCGATACGATTAACACGATTGCTACGACTGACCTGACAGGATCATCACGATTCCTCTACGATCAAAACCACGATTTCAATCGCAGTGCGAATCGTGATAGTTGGAACCTAGCATAACCTCCAATAATTGGCTCTTTGAAAATTGAATATGAGACACTATTAGTTTTATCCTATCACAAACCTGTCAAATGTCACAAAGTTTTACAAAAATGTTCATGGATACGACTAGCCATAGAAATGAAATGAAATGGAGTTACTGCGCCCACTGGGCTTATACCCCCGTCAGACCGGGGTAGCGTCCTTATTGCGTTGCTACAGCGACGGAAAATGATCTCAGGGCGCGTCAAGATCGACATCAGCGTGGTAAAAGCATGATGGAAACGCTAGATATTGTGCTGTGGTCTCCATGGTCGCCAAGTTTCTACGATCTGACCTGAAAGCTGTGAGAACGCGGTGGTTTTCAAGTTTGTAATTTTTGGGGACATTTTAACGCGTTGTGTTCACGTTTGACGACGACCTTGTGCATTTTCTGGTCGCCGTACGGTCGCAGCAGCGCAGTAAAGACCACGGTCTGATGGGGGAATAGTGACGACGGGGCTAACCTAAGTAAAGCTAAACGAACTGTTGGACACAAGCGGGGACAATAATAATGGTAGCCCGAAAATATTTCACATATACAATGATTTGTTAAAATATCATAACGG